GCTGTTGAAGGCGATCAATTTGATTTTCACGATCACGAATCATTCCACAAATAATTACTCGACTACGAGCAAAATGAGAACGACCATATTCAAGTTGAGTTCGATTATGATATGCACATTGAAGATATTTTGGAAGATGGAGATTATCGGATGTAAACAATCTTGGATTAGTCAAACTAACATGAGGCATAACAAAAAACATCAATATATAGATAGTTACTACCAAACAAATGAAGATTATTATTCGTCGAAAACGATAATAATGTCGATAAGATTCAAAATTAATCTCTGTCAGCACCGGTAAATATACATTGCCTAATAATATTCTGAACATGTACGAATCTAAAATTAATGTAAGTTTATTTTAGATGAGGATGTGGGGAAATACAGACGTCATCATAGAAGTATAGAAACTTTGACTTGATATTTTACAATTACTTAATAATGAAATTTTTTACCGATCAAATGTAGTTTTTTTACTGAGAAACTTTAAATTTACATAGCGTCTAATTATTCTACTTACGGTGAGTTTTGAGTTAAAGATTCAAATCTTTTCGCTATTACTATCCTACGATAAGAATATAATGCAAGAGAAACTACGTCATTGTGATAAAATATATTATTAAAACACAGTATTTCAATACTATATAATACCGACTTACAGATGATTGAATATTTGATGTTTGTTATTCACAATCTTCGAAATGAGCAATAAAAGAAAAAAAATGAAAATGATTGACACAAATTTTGCTCACATAGAACAGATTTGTTTATATAAAAAAGAAGAAAAAAAACGCTTGCGTGCTTTCTCAGCTTCTCAAACAATTTATCCTTCCTTGAAAAATATGCAGGCAGAGTGAATTATTTTCTGTTCTCTTTCTCTTTCTTTTTGCGACCTTGCCATTACTTCATCTATGCACAATTTTGTTTTTATATTAAAAAAAAACCGTGATCGATTAATATAATTGTAAGCTCCCGCAATGCATGTTGTATATAGAAATTATTTTAGTAAACAAAACCAACAAATGCTTTGTATGATTTATTAATTTTATGTCATAAAGTACATATCGTCAAATGAGCTACCTTAATGTCCATAATGATTGACAAAATCTAAATTTAATAGTAATATTTTTCTATACATAGAAATTAATTCATCACTTTCAACAATTTCTTTTTTGTTTTCTATACGAAGAAAAGGTTCTTATATATCGATGAAGAACAATAAAAATATGTGACTGTTCTGTTAAATCATCAAACACAAATCGTACTGCTACGAAAAATGAATTAAATGCGTTATAATGAAAGCAGAAATTATTTATACCGTGCGAGCTAACTCTGTTACAGACTTATAGGAGTTTATTAGAATACACTAAAATATTCCGAAAAGTATTGAAATTATTCTAGTTTCATTATTAGTTACAATACAATCTCTTTCGATCTAGCATTCATCATTAGAGATTATTTCGTATAACATCGCTTTAGTTAAATAGTTCCCTGAAACATCATTTGCAAGTAACATTATATTACGAAAAATGATTGATAAAGGTAATGTATTATAGTAATGAATGAGTAGTAGAAAAGAATAGTTCATATAATACGTTTATTAGCACTATCTAACCGATAGATCACTAATATTAGAATACTGCCGATAGACTTTCTTTCATACTAAATAACTAAAAACAAGTTTTTTTCGAATCTGAACAACAAGAAAAATAGAGATACGAGCAGAGAAGAATCTACTCTATCAGTTTTTCGATAGAAGGTGATCTGTTTGAATGCTTATTCATTTGATGTAAACTATTATCATATCATCCATCGAATACATTGTAAAAATTATCTTTACTTCTATCACAATAAAAACTGAATGTATTTTTATATTAAATTCATTTTATTCTACAAAATGAAAAAAATAATTTATACAATATTCATTTCAAATCTTCAATTCTTTAGTTAATATAATGTTGACGAATAGAAGCAGGAATACCAGTGATAGGTTGCTAGTAATTATTACCTATTGGAATAAAATCAACTTCACGTTCAACATTCAGACGTTCTGTATATGGATTACGATATAATTCAACATCTTGTGAATAAACTCCATAACCATAATTACCATAAGTAATAGTTCGATAATCTGTATTCCAAGTATTGATTGGAGTGCTAAAAAGTGGTATAGTCATCAAGTTATTCATAATAGTAAAGTGTAAAATAGACAATCAATTAATATTTGTATGAATGTATGAGAATAAGAAATAAATTTGTGAGTATTTATACTATATGATAATACACGTGTATAACAATAATAATAGTAATTATTGTTTATAGAGAATAGAAATAAGGGCGTCGCAATTGTACGTCATCAATACGATGTCATATTTACGTTCTACTCGGATCAATGATGAAAATAAATATTCCAAAGTACAATGAAGAATATTCGTGAATTTACTGAAAAATAGTTTTATTTTAATTACATTTATTCTAATAATTTTTTCCAATTATTCTTAAATTGTTTCATAGAATTACGTTTTTCATGATCAATTCTAATTTTTATTCATTTAAGTCTTTATGTAAGAGTCATACAATGACAACCGATTTTAATCAATCAAAAACAGAATTATATAAGTTTATGTGAATTTTATTCATGAATTTGTTGAACAAATTACATCTATGATTTGTTATTCGTAGAATAAAACTGTTCAATGTTATAATTCAAGCATTTGACATTGTTATATTCTTATAAATGTTATCAATTTGAACAATTTTTCATAATCATTTATCAAGTTTTAACTAAACTAGTTTTACAGCAGAATTAAAAGTATTTTTTTTCATACAAAGAAAGTTAAATATTTGTATTATTGTTTCATAGTAGATTTGTTATTTCTCTTTCAAAATAAAAACAAATGTATAATTATCAAAAGCAACTATTATTAGAATAAATATCATTAACATAAAACTATTTTTCAGTAAAATCTTCGAATATTCTTCATCGCACTTTAGTATATTTATTTTTATCATTGATCCGAGTAGAACGTAAATATGACATCGTATTGATGACGTACAATTGCGACGCCCTTATTTCTATTCTCTATAAACAATAATTACTATTATTATTGTTATACACGTGTATTATCATATAGTATAAATACTCACAAATTTATTTCTTATTCTCATACATTCATACAAATATTAATTGATTGTCTATTTTACACTTTACTATTATGAATAACTTGATGACTATACCACTTTTTAGCACTCCAATCAATACTTGGAATACAGATTATCGAACTATTACTTATGGTAATTATGGTTATGGAGTTTATTCACAAGATGTTGAATTGTATCGTAATCCATATACAGGACGTCTGAATGTTGAACGTGAAGTTGATTTTATTCCAATAGGTAATCAGTATTATCAACCTGTCACTGGTATTGCTGCTTCTATTCGTCAACATTATATTAACTAATGAATTGGAGATTTGAAATGAATATTGTATAAATTATTTTCTTTTTTTCTTTTTTTCGTTTTGTTTTTGTAAAATAAAATGAATTTAATATAGAATTTATAGTGTAAACAGTACGGTTGTACTCTATCTACTTTATGTAAATATATAATAAATAATAAAAAATACAGTCATACATTATGAAACTTTGAAAAATAAATAAAACAATTGCTGTTAGTTTGATACATGTGTTATTAAAATATTGAGTTGAGAGTGATTTAAATAAAATTTGATTATTCAACTTTTGTTTCATTATTTACCATACTCAAGAAAAAGCTTCTTTCTAAAATTTATGAAATGAAATTGAACGAATAATCGTTTATATATTTAAATCAATATTTAATTTTATTTCGATAAATGAGTCATTCAAATAATTCTTTCGTATTTTTCTTTACAACACAATCTTGTTGTATTCTTTTACATGTTAGTGCATAACTTTTCAGTAATTATAGTAAGTATATTCAAAAACCAAATGTTAATTTTCGACAAGACACAAACAAAACTAATTGTTTCATTGTAGAATTACATAAACATAGATATCTTCAAGTAAGAACCCGAAATCGATAAATATTTCTTTGATGTAGTTATTAATTAATTGTGAAAAACTGACTCTAATCAATCAGTTATACTGTTAACTAATTACTAATAAAAAAGATTGTAAGCTTAGTTTTTCAATAAAAGACGATCTATTCTTGAAAAATAGTATTTTTTACAAAATTTTGTTAAACATCTTGACGTTCAATCTATTGAGAATAATTTTTAATTTTTACCATGAGAAATTAATACTAATTATTGTTCCTGTTGCTTCCTTGTTGGATGACAATAATAATACTAATTTGATTGATTTTTATACTACAGAGTACTAGATAAATAATCACGGATGTTATATTTTTGATTATTGATATCGATGCGTACAGTATTTTTCAGAACTCTTGATACATTGATATAGTTTTTATTATAAATCAAAACTCATAGAATTTTGTTTTACATTGATGAAGATGAGGACTCGTTTTAGTTGATCGATAGTATTGATGATAAGCCTATAGATAGTTACTTGATTGAACTATGTGATTTTATTAAGAAGGAGTGAGTGATGTCATAATCCCATTACACCGGGTATTCTACTACAAACACGTCGCTTACAAAGTTACCCCGCTAGGGTATCGTGCAACCACCTCGTTACCCAAAATGAAGTATATGTGAAAAGCTGAGGAAT